AACGATAATGTTCATAAAGCATTTAACCAATAACCATTAAATGGTAGGCAACCTAGGACATATTGGTTTTCGTTTTTTTGTCCAGAGAACTTCTAATTTTAATGTTGAAGATAAGAATACATGAATAATAATTAACCAGATCAACTCACTTCTTTCTTTACTAGCTTTATTGAGGCATAATTGGTAAATAAAAATAAAATTGTGTATATTTAATGTGTACGACGTGATGTTTTGAGATATATGTATATTTATTGTGATATCATCATATATTCCTTAGCTCACATAGTTGCCATTTCCTTTTAACTTTTGTGGTGTGAACACTTCAGATCTACCTTCTTAGCAAACTTCAGGTATAAAATAAAGCATTTTTGTTAACTATAGTCATGTTGCTGTACACTAGATCTGCAGAACTGACTCATCTTGCATAACTGATGTCGGTCAAAGAGAATGTGATAGTTCTTCACCTTCTTTACCCCATTATGCAACAGCTATCACAGTCACTGGCTTTTGTCTTTTAGCTGAGTCTTCAGAGCATTCTAGATACACCACCTTAGAAGCTGGCGTCTGTCCTGGTAACCTACATCGTTAGCTCCTCAGAGGTATTTCTATCATTCCCATGCTGGTAGGAGGTCCCAAGAAGGTGGCCCAGGTCCCTAACTTTTCTAATTCTCTCAGGGCCAGTATCAATCAACCCCTCCATGATTGAATACTTCAGTTGCATCATCAGTTCAGGAACAAAAGCACCAGTCTTCCATCTGTCATGACTTCCATGAATGAGAAAGTTCTTCCACTTTTCCTCCTTCTTAAATTCTTCTGATTTCCCTGGAAACACAGGTTTTTGGTCTCTTGAGATGCTTCCTATTTGCCTCACAAAACTCAGAAGGTTGTTTTATGCCTTTAGTTGGCACAGAGATTATGGTTTGTGCAAAGGCATACATGCCCATTGCATAGTCCCTCGATCCCCAAATTTGTTTCACTTAATTTTTCTAATAACATTTTGATTTGAGGGACAATTTGACTTAACGTGGCTTAATGTATGGTCCATATTTTAGAAGGAATAACTTAAATTCTTTTTGCTTTGTCAACAGGTATTCAGGAGAAGGAAGCCATATAAGAATATTATTTATGTGATACCAGGAAAAAAATCCCCAAATGAGATCCTCACTCATGAGGACACAATGCATACTCAAAAATTTCTGATGCAGATTAATTAAATGAATAGCTGGTCAACGGCTGAGACAAAAAGGAATCCTCACTCAGGGCAGCTATTAAATGCAGTCCCTGTTGTCATACCACGTAGCTATTGCTCACTGAGGTGTGGAAAACTAATTTGGGAAGACCTTTGTTAACAGAAATGTTATCTGCAAATATGAGAGATTATACCTTCCACGTTAAATAAACTTAAGTGCATGTCTTACTCTTGCTGAGTCCCTATATCATTTCTACTTTACTGAGAGTTAAATGTAAATGTTCTTGGGCAGAAAGAGAAGCTCTCACCTTGGACCAGAGTCTGTCCTTTATTAGCTACATAAAATCACACATTAAATTGTTCTCAGCTGAAAAATTGAGGTAATAATACATGACTGTCTGTTTTCAGAATCAAATTGGATAATACATATAGTATGCAATATGTGTGTAAATCCCATATCAACAATTCTGTAAAATAAAACAAAACACCATATGAGATGAAGGATGGTTCAGAATTTATTCAGAAACATACAGGTAAGAATCCCTGCTACTAGGGACACAGCCCAAAGTTACCATGAAAAGAAGAAAGAAGGGTAAAAGAACCATGAGGACAAAATTGAAAACAAAAATATGATTGTAAAGATTATTGATCATTTGCAGAAATCTAAGTTTCTTAGAAGGAGAGAATGAAGCTTTTGACTTTAGAATCAAATGGGGACCATGACTCCACACTGAGAACACATGAAGCTGGCACATGATCCACAAGGTGTAAGGAAAAAGGAATCAGGGTGAAGTATTCTGCCCTCCCTCAAGCTGATTCACAAGATTTTAAACGTGCAAAGAAATAAAAAAAAATTGGTGAAAGCATACTGTGTGTCAGTAAAGTTTGAAAGTCAATTTGTCTTCTGAAAGATAAGTGAGTTGGGGCTGGGCGTGGTGGCTCATACCTGTAATCCCAGCACTTTGGGAGGCTGAGGCAGGTGGATCACTTGAGGTCAGGAGTTCCAGACCACCCTGATCAACATGGTGAAGCTCTGTCTCTACTAAAAATACAAAAAATTAGCCAGGCGTGGTGGCACAGGCATGTAATCCCAGCTACTAAAGAGGCCGAGGCAGGAGAATCGCTTGAACCTGGGATGCAGAGGCTGCATTGAGCCGAGAGTGTGCTACAGCACTCCAGCCTGGGCGACACAGCAAGGCTCCATCTCAAAAGAAAAAAAGTCAGTTGGGCAGAAGATTGTTGTGTGAGGATGATGGTCCTCTGCCGTGCTGCTCAGCAACAAGAAGGCTGGCAGCAGGTGGACACACAGCAGGCTGGGCGGCAGCAGGACTGGCAGCAGCTGGATCCACAGCTCTGGTTTAGGCATCCAGACAGGCAGATGCATGTAGGGTGGTAGCAGGCTCTCCTGCAGTAGACAGGTGCTCAGGAGCTGGTTTGGCCACAGCTGGTTTGGCCACAGTAGCTGGACCCACAGCAGGTGGGCTGGCAGCAGGGTGTGCTGCAGCAGGAAGGCTGGCAGCAGGTGGTCACACAAATGGGCTGGCAGCAGGTGGTCCTACAGCAGATGTTTTGACAGCAAGTTGGGTGGCAGCAAGGCTGGCAGCAGCTGGACACACAGCTGGAGGGCTGGCAGCAGGGTGTGCTGCTGCAGGTGGTCACAGTGGTGGGCTTCCAGCAGGTGGTCCTGTGACAGGTGGTCCTGCAGCACGTAGGCTGACAGCAAGAGGAGCAGCAGTGGGTCATGGTGTCAGGGGTGGAAGGTGAGTTTCTGTTCAGAGGTGAGTTTCCAAGAATTTGATGACCCCTTGCAGTCTGGACCTTTTGTAAACCTGGCCTCCAAAGTGTCCACCAATCTGCAGGGTTTTTCTTTTTTTTTCCTTTTTTTTCGGAGTCTGGCTCTGTCGCCCAGGCTGGAGTGCAGTGGCCGGATCTCAGCTCACTGCAACCTCTGCCTCCCGGGTTTACGCCATTCTCCTGCCTCAGCCTCCCGAGTAGCTGGGACTACAGGCGCCCGCCGCCTCGCCCGGCTAGTTTTTTGTATTTTTTAGTAGAGACGGGGTTTCACCGTGTTAGCCAGGATGGTCTCGATCTCCTGACCTCGTGATCCGCCCGTCTCGGCCTCCCAAAGTGCTGGGATTACAGGCTTGAGCCACCGCGCCCGGCCCAGTGTTTTTCTTTGTTGCTGTTTACAATTGTTTTCTATAGTCAGTTTGGCATTGTCAAAGAGGAAGTCATTTCCCAAATGTTATGAATCTTTGGAAAGTAAGGGTTTAATCTGTTTCTTAATTGTGAATTACTCATAGAAACTTTGTTTCAGATAAAAGGAAGGCAGTCTCATCATCGGCTTGGTTCCTGCTCTGACCATCATCTGGTCATGTGATAGTTCCTGGTGACTGGGGAGGCTCAGGAAGTTCTCTCTGCCCAGTCTCATCCTTTGGCTCTATGTAGACTGGGAAGTGTCTGTGGGGAGAAGCATGATGTTGATATATTCACAGTGGTGAATTGAATCCATGCTTGGGACCAAGACTGTTCACCCACCAAAGCTTGATTCAAGGTTAACAGGAATCTCTCTATGTACGACCTACTTTACCTGTCTCTTCCAGTTCTACAAAAGCCACTTGGGAAGAGGGTGTTCGGCACAATGTATTCCATGTGGCAGAGCAGAGCCAAAGCAAACAGGTAGAAAGAGGAGGAGTTCACTGGAATTCTCAAAGCATCAAGCAATGTACCTGCTGGGGCGACCATTCATCCTGATTTGCCTGGGACTGAGAGGCTTACTAACATGAGAATGTGTGACTGGGAATTACTGTGACATAACTGCTCTAGGTCCAGGCAAAGCAGTATGAGCTGTGGCTCTAGCCCTAATCCAGGTTACTGGCACAATCATTGCCATTTCTCTGTCTCTGTCTCTGTCTCTGTCTCTGTCTCTGTCTTTCTCTCTCTGTCTCTCTCTCTCTGTTTTCAATGAGGGAATTAGATGAGTTGAGATGATATCTGATTTCTCTTTGAGGTCTACTATGTTTAAAACTTTTTAAATTATACCATTCATTTCAGAAGAATGCAAATTATTAATTTCCAGCTTGATACAATATTACATTGTAAATACATCTAAGTCCCCATGACCAGTTTACAAAACAGAAATTAATTCCATTCCATCCAAATTATATCTTTTTACTCATCTCCAAAGGTAGCTAGTCACTCTATCAAGTTATAATCCTGTAGGTCAGTTTTGGATCTTTCTTTGACTTTTATGTAAATAAAAATTATAGAATGTGCTTCAATGTGTTTTTGGCATATTCAAAAGCAGCAATTATAACCTGGTCATTTCATTTTGGATCCTTCATGTTAGCAGACCAGCAGGTAGATAAAGGAGTTGCTATTTCATGAGGGATAATTTTCATGAAGCCATAGAGTATAGGGAGAATATATCTGAAACTCAAGAGATTTACTATATGTATTTAAGTATTATACTGCCATTAAAAACTATGGCAAATCAAGTGGCTGAAATTTATTTTCTCACAGTTCTGAAGGCTAAAATGAAGGTGTTGGCAATGTTGTTTTCATCTGAGGGCTGTGAGGGAAGTATCTGTTCCAGATCTCTCTCCTTGACCTGTAGATGTCTATCTTCTCCATGTGTGTCTTACATCATCTTCCCTCTACATGCGTCCGATCTCAATTTCCCCTTTTTATGCAGGCATCAGTCGTATTGAGTCAGAGGCACAATTTATTCCAATATGACCTTATATTACCATATTGCATTTTAAATGATCCTATTTGAATATGAATTATTGAGGACACAATTCAACCCATAACCTCAGAATATCTCAGAGTGTATCCATGCCCAGTGATAAACACAAATGAGTAACAAAAGCAACCACAGTTGGACAATGGTATAGTAA